AGAAATAGCCCGTTTGTACTGCAAGGTTTCTGATAACAAAAGAGATATTATCTTATCTTTTCAAATACTTGAAAACTCCCGAACACTTAGACATAATGTTGTCATCATGATAATATTCTTTGTTTACAGTATGGCTCTTTTCGAAACTTGAACCCAGAGTAATTAGAAGTCTACACTTCTTCTTTCGGTTTCAGTTGCAACAATATACGAACAGAAAAATAGTGATACCGCAGCACCGCACAAATTTTCTCATTATTTGCAATGGTTATGTAAATTTATAATGACATTGCAAAGTATGCACATCTAATATTTCAGCTAACGTGTTCAAATCTTTGTTCATCAAAGTACTTGAAACACAATACACACTATGCATATATATTATCTAGCATCTTCTCAAACTTCTTTGTACATAAAATTGACGTAAAACAACGTGCGGATATTCCAATAAATTACACATGGCATAATATTTGAAAAAATCTAAAGTTTTCATCAAAATGACTTAATTTATGTGATTTAGTGTATGGCCTCTACCCGTACAATATATTAAAGAAATAATTTAGAGGTATTATTACTAAAAAATTCCGGTATTGTTTTTTTAATGACTAGATTTGGCTCAAATTTTCATCAAAAAATAATATTTTTTAAAATATATGTTCCTGATATTATAGTCTTACTATTGATAATCGATTGCGTAAGAACAAAATCTCTAGTTTAAATAATGAAAATACGACAGACAAAATCTCGACATCAATTTTTACATCATTACATACTTTCTTGGCACTAGGCATACGAGGAAGGAAACCTCATTACTACGAATTGAATGAGACCGAAATAATCGGTAGTCAAATAACTAGTGGTGCTCCAACAGCACGTACTTTCTTGCGATATTGCTACTAGCTATGTAATATTATAATATGACAATTTCTCTCCTGCACTTCAATTACCATTCGAAAAAATTGTAAACAAATGTAGGTTTGTCTGTTTTGCCGGTTTTTTTCAAAATTATTAGCGAGACTTTTTTACGTATGAATGGAAATATTTCTTAGTAAATACGACGAGTTTTCAGATTGCCAACGTGGGTTTCCAAAATCAAAATCTACGGAAACTGCCATATTTTCATTTCTTAAAGATATCGCCTCATCCATGGATCAAACCAAAGCACCTATTGGAATATTTTTAGATCTTTTAAACGCTTTTGACGTCATTGATCATAACATTTTACTTCCAAAATTACATTCGTATGGAATTCGTGGTGTTGCTCTAGATTGGTTATGTTCGTCTTAATCAACGATCTCAAAGAGTAGAAATATCTTACTGGAATAATGGAACATTATGTACACACCTTTCTGATTCTTTGCCAATTGCATGTAGAGTCCCTCAGGGATCGATTTTAGGCCCTATTCTCCTTCCTACTATACGTAAACGATGATGCCCTCGCGATTTAGAAACGGGAAGACAGCTTCTCTTTGCGGATGATAACGAATTATTCTCTTGCCATACAGAAACCGTAAATTATGGCAATGTCTGGTATTTCAATTGGTTTCTGTATAACAAATTAATAGTTACCCAATGAAGAGAAAACTGTTTTCAATGCAGTTTTCTCATTTCAAATAAACAGTTCTGCACTTCACTGAGAATGAACGGTGTGGCATTGTCGGATGTTAAAGATAGACAAGCATGTTTTTAGCATTCTTTCAATTCAGTCAAAACATAAATGTGGAACGACCATTTCAATGGAATTGAACACTAAATTTAAGTTATTTATGCTAGCGCTTTCAGAATTCTTTTTCAAATTTAGTCACGCCTACACACTGCTCCGTGTAAGTTTCGCGAAAGATTTCATTCGCCGCCTGAGATATGGATAATTTCCTGGGAAGACAATCTTCTAGCTCCCAGACTTTTAGATTACAAAAAATAATTCTACGAATAATAAGCAAATCCCACCCACGCGATTTTTGTAAGCCTCTCTTTATTAATCTAGGTATTTTACCATTACCTTTTCTCTTCATATATGAATCAGTGGTTTTCGTACAAAATGACTTACTTAAGAATAGGAATATATTTCCCGCAAAACCGTTGAGTATAAGTACAACACTCGGCATAGTAATCATATTCATCAGGTGACAGTATCAACAGCTCACTACAAAAAAAATCAGTTATAATTCAGTTAAATTATTTTACATCTTGCCAGATGACATTAAACAATTAAATTCGATTTCAAAGGTTTAAATCCGAAGTAAAATATTTTCTGATGCACAATTGTTTCTATTCAATTAGAGACTATAATGGAATTTAATGTTGTAATAATGGAATTTAAGTATATACCATTTGGATTGTATAATTGTAAAGAACCTGTAACAAGTATTGTACTTCAGCTTCTGGGTCAATGACCCCCATCTCGATCAGGTTTTCGTCCAGTTTCCCCGATCCTCGAGCAAATGCTGAGATGGCCCCCTTGTTTTGCTTCTGGACATACATGTAACTTCAATTTAACTTCTCCCCATAGCACGTCACACACAGTTTTTAACTGTTTTCATATAAATAAATAATTAAAGCGTGAAATTTACATATATTTTTTTAAATCCAAACGTTTAAACGAAAACAGCTTTTGCCATAAATACACCAACGATATGCGATGCTTATTTTAGCCGTAACGAAAATTATTATTTTATATTAACGCCAACGAACTGCGGTCATCATTTTCGCCTCCTATTTTCAGCAAGGCGTTTCAACATGTTGCAACACGCAACAATGACCGTTAATTCGTATGGGATACAACATTATAAAAATTAGCATTGTTGAAACTCGTGGTAAGAAAATGGAAATGGACACAAAAATATAATAATTAAATAAAAGGTTATTATATTCATCCAAACTACCCGATTTTTACTCTTCATTCCGACATCTAACTATGCAAAGTGAAATCATCTATTCGTTTTCACATTTAACACAATAAAAGACCGCAATTTAAGTGGATTTTAAATAAATTATAAAAGATTAATTTGTGGACGAACAAAAGCTCGAACGTAAGAAACGAAAAAAGAAATATGAAATAATATACATTTTTGACTTACGAAGCATCCTGCTTGATGTACCTCTTACGTTGACGAAGCGCAGTCAATTGGGAGCGGCCTGTTATGTCTGTTACGAAATTACAAAAAAAGTACTTTTACATATTTTCAAAAAATTAAACTTGACTTAATTTAATGATCTGTTTTTATGTACGCATTTCATTAAGAAAAAAATGGATCTACACAATTGTAGTAGTTGGAAGAAGTTGAATTTTTTTTTTTTAATTTCACAATATCAGGCATTTCAACGAACATAAGTCCTGCATCATCATCTTAAGCATTATGCTATCTATGGTCCCGATTACATTTTTAAAAATGTGCAGATTTTAAGAAAAAAAAGGTTTAAAGAAAATAAAATTTTCCTATCTTTTACCCAAACTTTCGAAAAAAGTATTTATGTTTTTGAAAAATTGAGCATGGCCTTATTTGTAGACCTGTTTTTGATGAACACATTTCATTTAGAAAAAAATACTTTTTCATAATAGTACTTGTAGGAAGACGCCGAAAAAATTGATTTTTTTTCAATTTTCGAAGCAGGGTTTTTAACCAACACGAGACCTGCATCGTTTTCTTTTACGTCTTTCAGAAAATCTAATAACAAAACTTCATCAATAGCGATTGAGCCGTTTTTGAGAAAAAATTGTTTAAACAAAATTTAAAATTACTTTTTACTCAATATTACGCGAAAAATACTCAAATTTTCAAAAAAAAATTACATAATCTTATTTCAAAATATATCTTTAAACAACATATTTTATTAAGGAAAATGTCTCAATGTTTAATATTTTCGTTGTAAGGTATATTTTTGTTGTTGTAATATATTTTAGTTGTAGGAACACTCTAAACAAATTTTTAATTTTTGCAATCTTTGAGAAATCAGAAATTTCAACGTACATGAGACCTGCACTATTCTCTAAAACGTCTTTTACACTATCCAAAAACCAAGTTTAATCAAAATCTATGGAATCATTTTTTAAATTTTGAAAATGTCCCATGGGCTTTCCGTAAAGTACCCCTCAAAATTAAAATGTCTGTTTCAAATTCAAGAAGTCGTGACAGCCAGGGAATATCAATTTTGGTGAAAATCGGATGAACGGTTCAGCCGCTGCTGTTTTTCACAGACGAACGGACAGACAGATTTTTACCGTCAATCGATGGTTCGTTATCAAGGCCAACAAACATGGATTTTGACTACACCACGTGTTAGAGTGTTTTTCAAAATTTAGCGACTGGATTTATCCACTTTTTCCGTATCATGGTCGTATAATAAGAGTTTGTTTTTTTCTGCCGAAAATTCACCGTTTTTTTTGCGCAGCATTATATAAGTTCATATAATTTCTGTCTTTGCGAAGTCAAGTGGCCGCCTGCTCTGAATGGTAGTGTTTCTCCGATCAACACCAAGCAAATGCAGGAGCGCTAGCTTAATAAAGCAAAGGCATGCGCGCGGTCATTCCTTCCTCTTCCTTGTCCTATACTCACCCCTTACTTACAAACACACTAACACGCCTTACACTCCCACCCATGCCAGGAGACCGGTCGGGAGCTTAGAGCTTCTCCCGGCTGGGGCGGTGCCTCGTTGGAGGGGGATACCTGGTTGGAGAAACCCCGCTTGCCAACTGTAGCCGACCTCCACCACCACCACCTTCCAACAAAAAAATATGTACTACACTTAGGGGACTAACGGTCTTAGTATTTGACACGCCCGGAATCACTAACAATCCATCAACTATCTTTCCTTACCGGGTCCAAAATTGTATTAGTATTAAGCAAGTTCCTGCTGACGAGGATTCATTGCAATGGAAGTTTCTGTTTCGGTGTCAACGTTAAAACAGTTTTTAACGGTTTCGGTTCGATTCCTTAATTGGAACGTGCCCCGTGCTTGTATGCGAGTCTGTATCACGACTTGGCTTGGTCCTGTCTCGCCTAGCCATGCCCCGTAATTCCAGGAAGCAGCCTCGCAAATGCGGCAAGCGGTCCCTCGGCAGCGACCTATGCTCCTTCGATAAGCGCGTGTTGCGGCGGCGGCGGCGGCGCGCGCGGATGGACACGATTCGCTTCATTTGCGGCGCCGACCTGCCTCCGGCAAGTGCGGCCACGCGGATCCGGCGATCGACGGCACGCCAGCCGCCCTCCGACTCTGAGGTAAGGCGGACCACCTCTGACCCGCGGAACTGTTCGATGGAGTGTGTAACTCACAGGCGTGCGGACAGGGAGAAATTTCTAAAAAAGACGTTCTGTGTCCCTTAGTAATTATTTTTTTTTTTTTTTCATAATTATCCATTCATGATTTCACCTCTTTTTTAAGCTGACAATTTGGGGAACTGATACACATATTGGAGGAAGCTATGTGGTAACCCTGAAAATGATTCAACATTAAAAAAATATTGAATTTATTAATTGTGTCATTAAATTTATTTCGTTCTCTTTGTATTAATTTTGTGGTTGAATTTATTTACTAGTAAGGTACCGTAAGTTATTTCTTAATGGAACTAGTGGTTCTAAAACAGCACGTGCAATCTCCCCCGTATTTTCATCCAAAATTACGCGAAAAGTGCTCAAATTTTCATAAAATCGAACATGAACTTATTTCAAAATTCATCTTTAAGGAACAGATTCCATTAAGGGAAAAATCTCTAACTTTAATATTTTTGTTGTCAGAACACGCCGAAAAAAATGTCAATATTGCAATTTGTGAAAAATCAATGTTTTTAACGAACATGAGACCTGCATCATTCTCTTGAACATCCTTCACACTATCAAACAACAAAATTTAATAAAAAAGTGAGTGGGGGGGGGTAATGTCCGAGGGACTTTGTGTAAAATAAGTAAGTCAAATTCAATGGGCCACGACATCAGTCAGATCGATTGGGAAATATCAATTTTGGAGAAAATCGGCAGAATGGTTTAGCCGCTTGCATCGTTAAGAGACGGACTGACGCTTTGCCGCCATTCGATTTTCGGTATCAAGGACCCACAAAACACGGATTCTGGCCACGCCACGTGGTACAGGATTTTTTCTTCATTTAACATTCGGATTTATCCCCTTTTTCTTTTCCTAGTAATAAGAGTTTTTCTGTCGAAAATTCGCCATTTTTTCACGCAACATAACATAATTTTCTCTCTACTCCGTGGGGAGAAAGTAAAAGGTTTAATGGTAAAGGGGGTCCAGTGGAGAAACTAGGGACCCAGAAATGTAATTGCCCCTTCTTGCTTTAGGTTGGGCTTTCATTCGGGGGTTATCCTCTTTCTGGGGCCTCGGTTGCATTGCGACGTTCATAATATTGATACACGTGACCCAGCGACTTCTCTTTCTCCGAAGGCCATTGTGTTTATGATGTTTATGTTACATAATGATGCACGTATTTCAATATCCATCCGAAACAGTCGAAACGAACATTCGTCATCCTGAAACGGATTGTCGTCACCATAACACTATTTAGTAACTCTACTGAGTTGTATAATTTTGCAACATGAAATAAAATTATCGCTTAAGTTTTGTTGTCAATGGACCATACCTATACCATACCTGTCTTGTATTTTCATAATAAGACGGGAACAGGAAATGACTAATTTCAATTTTTTAAAATCATTTATGACTCTTGCAAATGTGCGCCATTTGTGTGCATATCTCCGCCTGATCAGGACATGATAATAGTCCTGCATATTGTGTACCTGTCACAAGATATTATTTTATTGGACAGCCTCTAAATCTATTACTTTACGTAACATCATAATGGTTTCCACATGGTATCTTCATTAACAGTCCTGAAATGCAAGTATTATTTGATAATAGATAAATGATAAGTAGTAGTTAATTTTTACGTGTATTATGGATTAATTGGAGTAAAAATAAGTTAAAAATTCTATCATCCATTTTTCTAAAATTAATTTTTTGTAATTTTAAATTTATTTAATGGCCTGTGCTATTATTGTCTGGATAATAATATGTGTTAACGTACTAAAGTATGATGATTTTTCCATGCGTTCCTTCCTCCCGGTATTAAAATTCCCCTTTAGGTGTGAAATCTACGCCATATGTTCTTCAACTTTAGATCGAGTTTCCCCGTACGATTTCTCAATTCTGTTTTGTCTATTTTTCCTATTCTTTGTATTATTTTTCCAGTACTTCCGTAACTGATATCCCTCCTTTTCAAATCTTAGACCATCTCACCTCATGCATCAACTATTTAAATGCTCCCCAACCTTTTTGTCATTGAAATGTTTCTCCACCGCTTGGCTTTCCAAACGATCTCATTTCAAATCTTATCACGACGGGATAAGTGAAAGCATCTTCTCACACAGTGTATCCTTCTGTTCTTATTTAAGTCACAGATTCATGGACAAAAGCCTTACAGCAGTATCTTATTAATACTATTATCATGAATTCTACCGAGTATTCTTTCTTTGATAGCTCAAAGTACTCCTATCGTCTTTTTGAAGCTGTAAAGAGATATTTGAAATTTATATGTACACGTAATCCCCCCTTTGAACCCAGAACAATGTTTTATACTGTCTTTCCTCCTTGCATGTAACATTGCTTCTTTGATTTTCTTAATCGCAATATCTATAAATCTAAATATTAATATGCCTGCAATCTCTAGGCCCCGTTGATATTCCAACCATCCGTTCAACGTAATTGCAGGTGCAGATAATCATGTTCATATAGGTAATACACGAATATTCAGTAATAACATAAAAAATAGCTACTTAAAGCTGGAGTAATGTGAACAACGAAAAAAGTTGGAGTGAATGTCAACTTCAAAAAGTGCAGGAAATAAAAAAGCATTATTGACTGTCCAATTCACTAAAAAACATTTTACAAGTGATTTTTTCAAAGGAGTATGCAAGTATAAGTAAGAAAATGTCATGACTATTGGTTGATAAAAATGCACACATAGCACTACACAGTATTTTGGTAGAATGCAATTGCTGACAAAATGTTTTTTCCTAATACTTATGTGTAAGAAAATGCAAAAAAACTTAATTTGAATTCGCTGTCATTAACGAAATCAAAATGACTAGGTAGCGACTGAAAATGTTCTCCAAATATAAATATTTTTTTAAAATTTTCCAAGGTTAAAATGTACTATATATACTATGTACTGATGTATTGCTAGCACTGAACTTTATCACATAAATTTCACATAAGGTATCCTAAAATGAAGTTCCTTCGTCTGTTTTTGAGAGTGAAAGTCAAAATAGATCGTCAGCAGAATAACATAATCAGCTTTTAACATATTCAAGGCTTTAAGCTTTTTCCACAGGACGATATGAATGCTGACAGAGGGCAGACAGACTGACGAACCAAGGAGAGAAAGAGAAAATCATGCCTAGAAAGAGAGACAAGCGAAGAGAGAGAGAGAGAGAGAGAGAGAGAGAGAGAGAGAGAGAGAGAGAGAGAGATAGTAAGAAACAGAGGAAAAGTATATGACAAACACAGCGGGTCGAAAAGGCAGACGATGAACGGAGGAAGGGAACCACAAACAGGCAGAGAGCGTTGCCTTTATCTATTAAAAAAAAAAAAAAAACTGACTTAAATTTTATTTCACAATGGCTGAACAAGCGTATTCCACAGGTGAATTCTCCTCCCTGCCCCCCCCCCACCTTTCCACCACCACCGTCACCATCCAGAAACCTTTCGCTGAGACCCCGACTTTCTCGACGGCAGTCGGCGCCAAGGCTTGCTGGCAGCAGCCGGCTACCTTGCCACCTCATCCATACCACGCGTTGGGAATTGGGAGCAGGTGAGAAAGCGATCGGAACAGGGACTGTTGCAAGGAGACGTACCTTTTCGCCACAAAATGAATATTCGGAAGCGGAAGCGATTGGAAATTGTACATTGCACGATTCACTTTTGTGGACTTTCATTAGGAGGCATGCAATAAGTAATGGTAAGTACTAGGCATGCGTTTGGTAACAACCCACAAAATTATTAACCATTTTTACTTCAAGAAGGGGTTGGTGGACTCATTGGTTGAGGTAGAAGCCTTCATTCTCCGGGACCTTGATTCATATCTCTGTTAAAAGGCAGCTTGTGTGTATCTCACCTACTGATAACGGTTTTCTGATTTATCTTACTATTGTAATACTGTATTTCGGACTGCCAACATGACCTTTTAAGTTTCTTTGCAAATGTGTATGCTTTTGTTTGTATCGGTTAGAGTTTAAATTTTAGCAGTTTTTGATGCATTGACTGTTACACGAATTACAAGCTTATCACTTCACGAAATGAGCTTCGATACTATATTGCTAAGGTTACTTAGTTTCGATTATTAGGTAGTAACGTTACTAATTTTCAGTAGTCATCGTTTTCAAAATGTAATGAATTTTGTATAGATATTTAAATGTCTAGAGAATATAATTGTTTTACAAATATTTCAACTACTCTTCCTACTCAAATGACTATAGCAGTTGGGGTGCATTTTGAAGTTCGAGCGTTCGATACCAGCCGTGAATGTTACTCGTGCGTTTCGTGTCGCCTGGCGAGGTATCACACAGCTCCGAGTAACCCTGTTGAAGCAATGAGTAACCTTTTCCGTAATGGACTGGGTATTACAACGAAGATATTCCGAAACTGCGAGAGGAAGCAGTCAGAAACCATTTCCAGCACTTGTGCATGGAATGTACTACTGATCACCACAGTTTTGTTTTTTTAATTTTTTTTAAGGTCGCATCAACATCTAGGTCATTAGCGACCACTATTGCATTTAACGATATGGTAACTGTGAAGATGACATGATATGGTGATGATAGGAGGTGAAATGACGAACACATACAACCATGCCCGAGGCGAGACTCGAACCCGCGATCCTTCGGTTTGAGATCGCTACGTCACTACTGCCTAACGATATTGGCCATCCGGACCGGCCCTTCAGTGTTTATTGATTGGAAAGAGTCGTTTTGCGGTACGCGTACGATAAAGTATGTTTTGTAATATTATTTAAAATACTAATACGTAAGCGTACCGCAAAAACGTCATGGACATAAAACTAGTGTGTACTACAAAGTAAACAAAACACTGAGGCGACATGAATCAACGTTGTTTCCACCTCGCGTATTGAAAATAATCCCAATAGCATAAACTTGTAAACCATGAGTTCCATGATTAAAATAATGTACGCAACGCGTACAAAAGTATCTGTGGCGCCCTCATTTCAAAATGCCAGCTTCTATTGTCGCCTCGTCCGTCAACCTGCTCCGCATGCGCCAGAGACTCCTTTCTGTACTAGTTACGTAAATTGCATTTTCCGAACTAATGGACAGGTGCTCAAAGAGAACATAGACGAGGAAGTGCAACGAGGAACTGCAGTGGTGAAGGCTAGAGCGGCTCGATCGCTTGCAAGCAGAGGAGGAGAGCCAGCTGTGGGGGCGTCGTAGCGATTTAGACTGGGGCTCCGAATGTTGCAACTTTGAGACTATATATAACAAGACACCAGTTTTGTCTACTTTTTATTGACGATTTTCGGAATCATCGTAAGGAGTGACGTTTGGCATTTTTGTGCAGATTGAGACTCAGCACGTTCCGGGGAAGGTTGAAGGTGGAAAAGACGTTCATTTGTCATTCACAAAGGAAGCACGTTAGTTGCAATGTTGTTTCCGCCCGTCAGTAAAAACTTATCGTTCACAATCGACCTCGCTTATCGAACACATGACTTTTACAATACGACAAGGTAGCAATACGACACTCAGACAGAGCGATTGGGCAATATACGAAGGATGGAGTAGAAAAAAAAGATATCGGTTTTACAGAGAGGTTCTCTTTCTATTAATTATCTCAAAATATATTTGGTGTTACAGTAAACTATTAAAAAATATAAAATTACAAAATTCTGAAACATACTTCAAAGAAGGAAAACGCAATGCAAACATGGGCAGACCGGGCAATCCACGGGAGACGGAAACACAGGGTTCTTGAAAACGTAATCGATGGGAATAAAATTCAGTTAAGCGGACACCGAATTAGAAAAAAAATTCAAGGATCACGGGATAAATATAATAAACAGGTGATGATTTCAGCCATAAGCCCAAAATTTGATTTCAAAGACGTTTCGGCCTGGAAGAGGATCTCGGAAAACAGATCGAAAAGTCTTCTGAAATATAATTTTTGACTGATGACTGTAATCATCGCCTTTTGTTTACAAAATTAGAAGATACAAGCGGTCTGCGACAGCAAAAATGTAAATGCAGAAAAACTGTCAAATGTGAGAACAACGGGTTTTGGAGCTGCAAAACTTGGCTTTTCGGAATTGGGACGTGTAAAAGCTGGCGCTCTTTCTTCCGCGTCGCATGACGCCAGCCGAGTCGTAAGCACTGACGCACTGAGTGCGAGATTGTAGCCGAAATATCAGATACGAGAAATTGCGAATTAACATAACCAAATATTTGCATTTTCAGTCGAGATGGAATCTGTGTCATTGTCTTTTATTATTTAGTCTTCCTGGTTTCTAACAAAACCATTGCCATTTCTCACTTGGCCAGAGTCCGCTTAGTTTTCTGCGAATATCCGAAATTTGTAATATAGACATTTTTTAAAGATGTCTGTGATAATGTTGGTCTTGAAATGTAGTAATTTAGTACATCAAATTTGAAATGAAATTGAGTTCTTCATACATTTTGTTTTGTTTGCAATTATTATCTAACAATATTGAATTTTTGAAGACAAATTATATTGAATATAATAAAATAAATCAAAACAATTGTATAATTACCTTGAGCATCGTTTTATTTAGTCGGGGACTGAATTTCAGCTTCGAGCAAATTTGCCTAGCCACAGAGGAGAGCAAAGTATGTAATCACGTCCTACACATAGGCATTTTCACCAATGTTTTCCTTGTGACCTTCAGTTCGCAAATGCAGTCTAGTGTTAAGTCATCATCTGTAAAGAATAATATCAGAAACGACCTGCTGAAGTTTTTCATGTGAACTTGTGCAGCGTCATGGCTCACCCGTCGTCCCCGCTGGAGGCGCTGCTGCTGCTTCTGGCGCTGTTGGCCCTGACATTGACCCCTGTTGCATCTGCCCCCCGCCGCCCACACATCATTCTCATCATTGCCGACGATCTGGTGAGTGGGTTTTTGTGTTTTAAACTCTTTTCGTAATTATGTTTACGGAAGCAAAAAAGGAGGGAAGCCATTCTAAACGATCGGCGTCCGTTAAGACCTTTAACGGTCGCCGTTAAGTTCGTTAAGAACAGTAAAAACTTAATGAGTTGTAGCTACAAACGGCATATGAATACTTCTTCTCAAAGCTTTTTATTTCTATGAATTTTTCTTATGAGAAAGTGGTAGAACTAAAAGTATTAAACGAGGCAGGCTGATATGTCAAATTATAGACGTGGTTGACAGTTAAGCATATGAGTCACGTTTCTAATGTGACTGGAAATCAAAATTTGGACAGGCATCATAATTCGCCTGAGGGTGCGTTTACGTTGGAGCATCGACAAACGATAGACCACGACCAAAGAGAAGCAACACACGCATAACATAGTGTGCAGCGATCATGTGACCAATAACGTGTGAAAAAAAATGTGCACATCCTGTTGTCCTAAATGAAATTAGTTTCGAATTGTGATGGCAAAGTGCGTTAAATCGCCACAATGCCACATCTTCTTGATTCACATTTGTTCGACTATGCCTGCCCACCAACAACTCATCTTTGCATTACAATTATAATATTATATAATATTAAATAAATATAACTAATATCATACGTACCGATTAATCCCAAGGACATGCTATTGCATCATGTGAATATTAGCTGCACAAACTATCGCCAATTAGGGAAGACATTTCATAAAGAATGGTCTAGTAATATATTAGCATATAACTTGCCCGATAAATCCGATTGAATAGCTGTGAATTCTAGTTTCAGTGGATGCGTGCACAGAGGCTCAAAAGCGACATATGCTGAGATTACTTTTCACCAAAATGCTTTACTTTTCACCACATGCCGCAAGAAGCTTCATAGTGCTCATGCTGCGTGACTCTCCAATTCGATAGATTGATAGATTAGTGATTTCGGATGCGACAACTGCTAAGGTCATTAATCCCGCGAGTGTAGTGCAAGTTTTTTCCTTGGGAGGTGGCTGTGACATTCCCTGTTGGATGGCGAGACTGGCACCGACCTACACATCAGATAACGCTGGTTTTACCATCCAGGTATAGGGCTAGCGGGGCACCGCTCCATCTGGAACCTCTGACCTCCCGACTGGTCTTCCGCCATACGTGGTAGATTAGTGCACGTAAGTATGCGCGCGTGTGTGAAAAAAGGTGAGAATAGGACAAGGAAGGGGAAGGAAAGATCGCATGCGTTGCGTGGCCGTTCAATAGGATGCTGCTCCGGCATTCGTCTGGTTCGTGCGGGCTTTGGGTCGGGTGCCTTTAACCCAAGGGATTATTGCATCACAAATGGCCTCGTTTTTTATCTATTTAATGGTTTTAAATTATTTAACTCGGACGCCAATGACCGCGACTGCCGAAGCGCCCTGTCAACCTCAATGAATCGAGCACACGTGTGGTACTGCTGCAGGGATGGAACGACGTGAGCGTGCACGGGTCGCAGCTGGTGGCGACGCCCAACATCGACGCGCTGGCGGCGACCGGGCGCTTGCTGCGCCGCCACTACGCGCTGCCCACCTGCACGCCCTCGCGCGCCGCGCTGCTCACCGGCAGGCACGCCGCCGCCACAGGTGGGCCCACGACGCAGCGCTCCATCGAACGACTGATCATGGCGTGCGTCTTTCCGTGTGCGTGAACTGCTGTGGCGCGTGTTTTTATCACGGAGGTGGCTGCGATTTCCACGCTGGATGGCGAGATCTGGCGCCGACCTGCATGTCTGCTTGTGGATTTTCCCCATCCTGGTACCTCTCGTCAGCAGGGCAGCGCTCCAGCCGGGACAAGCTCTGAGCTCCCGACTGGCATCCCGACATGTGCGGTACTGTAGCGAATTTAAGCTAAGTTTAGTTTGTAAGGGGTGAGGATAGGACAATGAAGAGAAGGGATAGATCACACGCGGTCCATGGCCCATTTGTTAGGGCATTCGCCGGGTATTGATCAGAGAAATCACGGAAAATACCGATCTGAACAGATGGCAGCTGGAATTCTCCTTCAGACAGTGCATCAGTTCGACCTAGCTATCTAGCTAGTGTCAAAAATACTTCCATCGTATGGACTCGAATCCTAGGACCTTGCGAGCAGATACGCTGCAGTAAAATCAGTTGGTGTCATGAGCTACATCAGCCTGTGTTTGTTTTTTAACCGGACTGCAACAAGAAAAATGGAGGTTTATTTTTCCGTGATTGGGTGTCTTGTTTTTATGATACCACCTTCGTGTGTCCGATTCGACTACTTTTCTTATCTGATGTGTGCTTACATTCCTCTTGAGATCGTAAATGACATTGGTTGTATAAAGTTCCTAAAAATATAATATGGGTAATAGTAAGAATCATTTTCATTTTTTCTTAAATTACAAATTTGCTCTTACACTTGCTCTTACACTTCCTGTAGTCAGAGTCCATGTTTTGTGGGTCCTTGATACCGAAAAAACGATTAACGACAAAACGTGTCTGTCTGACAGTCCTTCTGTTTGTATGTGGTCAAAGTTAGCGCATTTAGAATATTATCACCAAAACTGAGCAATTTAAAGAAAGTCAAGACATTCTTAGTTTCAAACGTATATTTTTTTTTTTTGAGGTATTTTACATATAACCTCAACATTTTCACATTTTTCTCAAAAATGTATCCAATTTGGTTTAATAAACCATCCTCAGTTAATCGAATCTCGAATTCTTTCCTTGATATTTGTGTTCGCGTTGGCGAAAGGGGCACGGACGGACACGGGTTTCCAAGCGCAGCCACCACGCGCATTGCGCCGCGACCGGTACGCTGGCTCGACTGCATCACACTTGCAAGCTCTTTGCATCTGGGGTTGGAGCGCGATACAACACTTGAGAAATCCAAGACAGACTGCCACGCCTAGGTGGGATTTGAATCCACGATTACCGACTTTGGTGGATCAGGGCATCAATTGCTATCAATGCAGTGCCTCTTATAGGGAGGTCCCAGGGTTTTTGGCCTGATGGTTGCCAGGATTCTTGACCCTAGCTAGCTCAAGTTCAGCCGCTGCCTGGAGGAGGATACCAGCTGCTCTGCTCTGCTCGGTCGTTTTCTGAAGTTTCTCCGATCAACACCAGGCGAATATTGAAGCAGTACCCTAGCAAATGGCCACGGATCGCCCGCGATCTTTCCTTCCTCTTCCTTCTCCTTTCCTCACCCCTTGTTTACGCGCACTCGTACTAACAAGCGCTTCACTACCACTCTTGTCGGGAGACCAGTCACGAACGTAGAACTTGTCCCGGGTGGAGCTGTTCTCCCACTGGTGGTAGATACCTGCTTGGGGAAAACCCTGCGAACCGACGTGTAGGTCGGCAGAGGACCTCGCCTTCCAACGGGGGAAGATCACCGCCATCTCCCGCGATAAAAACACGCACTACACTTATGCGATTGACCTTAGTAGCTGACTGGGCGGCAATCGCTAATCAACCATTCAATCGAATACACGACCCTTAGCACCAACATTCTGAGCCTGCACTCATCAGCAGCATTCTGGCTTAAATTATATCTTGTATTAATTCAAAGCCACTTAAGCAACTGTATATGAAAATTGCATCCGTTTGCTTGTTTGTAAGTCCCTGTCTTCCATTGATTTAGCACATAATTACTTCATTTGGTTAAATTGTAAACACATAGCCAGTTATTACTATTCATTAAATATCACTTTGCACTCCCCACTCCCCAAGATTTTTTCATTAGAGCAAATATTTGTTTTCCCAATGCAGCTCTACAAGTTACTCCTTTCCGCCCCGGCGGTCATTAAAGCGCTCCGTGTTGACGTCGCCCTTACTTTTGTCTGTTTATCGATATCGCTCTGAAGAAAACTTACAGGCGTGGATGACATACTTGTACATGTTTAGACTAGCAATTAGGAATGACGCAAGTAAACTCGTAGATGTAAGTGCACTCATGTGGACAATAGCGATGTAAAACTTTTTCTTGCAATTTTGTAAGAGCAGCATTGTAGTGAAATCTTTTAAATTTTGAACAAAAGCGTACTTTATTTACAAATATCAATAATTACAATTTAGTTTAGTTTTTTCATGTAACGTATAATATTTAATGTGGCGTAAAAAATAGTGACGTAATTTAGTGTTAAATCAATTGAACATGTTTTTCACATTTTCTCAATTTTCTACTCCCCTAAAAGTTTAATTGATATGAGGCTTTCAGAATATATAGAAGAACAAAACTGTGTATTCCTGTTGAAATATTGACATTGATGTTTTGCAGCAATACTAACCAAATTCATACACGAAAATGTAAGTCGTGATACTACAACAGCAATACTTTCTCGCAATACTTGAAAAAACGTACGGACAAACCGTATTTGAACAAACAATTTTGTAACTTTCAAAAACTTGAAACGTTTTATCAGAAAACCGTTTGTCATACTATTTGGTGCATTCATTCAAAAAATTTAAGAGACGTGGAGCCATTTTTGAGAAAATCGTATTTTAAAAATCAATCATGTAACGCAAAATTACTTGAATACTACTCTTATTCTAAAAAAATACATTTCATTCTTTAAAAATGTTAGAAAGTTAGATTTCATTGACGAAATAATCTGTCATCAATATTGTATTTGTAAGAAGAGACCAAAAAAAATAAACTTCAAAAATTTTTGAAAATTTAGAGAACTTAACGAAAATTGGACCTGCGCCATTTTTATAAGTGTACTTAGCTGTATTTGAGAAAAAATAGGAACAACTTTGAAGCTATTTGTTCAATTTGAAAATTTTAAAATGTCGTTGGATTTGTAAAGTACCCCAAAAATTAATTATCTTTTTCAAAATTGAGGGGTTGCAACTCCAATTAGCTCGATTATCAACTCCAATTAGCTCGATTATCAACACCGACTAGATCGATTATTTTGGCGAAAACGGACGAAGGGACGGACGAAGGGTAGGACGAACCTAAACTGCAACTTTTTGCCGAAAAATCGCCATTTTTGCCGCAGCATTACATAACGTTCTTAATACTACGTAAGTAGTGTGCGAGAAAGTAAGATAGGAGGAAGTTGGAACATAATGTTCTTGTAAGGAAGCTGGCTGTGTTTGAAATGCCCGCCCCGCCCCGTCCCGGTTCTCGTGCGCAGGCATGCAGGGGTACCCGCTGCGCGCCGGGGAGCCGCGTGGGCTGCCGCTGCAGGAGCGCACCCTGGCGCAGCGGCTGCGCGCGCGGGGCTACGCTACGCACCTCGTGGGCAAGTGGCACCTGGGCGCGCACCGCTCCGCCTTCCTGCCCACGCGCCGCGGCTTCGACTCCCACTTCGGATACCGCAACGGCTACGTCGGCTACTTCGACCACAGCATCTCGCAGGCCACGCCCGGCAAGCTGGTATGTTCTGGGAAATTGCCAATCCTCGGCGACCGGCGCAGAGTAGCTCAGTGTCCGCATTGCCGCTGTCTCTGCGGTGACTCTGATCGGGGGTCCTGGCGTTCGAGTTCCTACGGTGGCGGTTTTCGACACTAACTATGAAACTAGATAGAATTCAACCTAGGGATGGATGGATGGATGGATGGATGGATGGATGGATGGATGGATGGATGGATGGATGGATGGATGGACACCAAGTTCACTGATCGGCTCGCTTTCTCAGTGCCCTTCTCCGCTTACACTTCCTGCTCCACGACCACGTGTCTACTGCGTCTGTTCATTCACGAGTCACCTTATTCTCATAGTTGGGAGCTGACTTGATTGTTAGGCTGAGGAATGCGCTCGGTGTTCTTGGAAGCTGCCCTCCCCCCCACCTAATCTGCAACAAGTAGCTGACCCAAATATATTACGCTAAGTGTCCATAGACAAAAATTAAATCATACGAGAATAAGGAAAACAAATAAGCAATAAGTGAATGCCATCAATGTGGAATTTTATATCCTCACAATATGGCTTTTTCTTACCGGGAGTATTCAAGGCTGCCCCGCCGGCTTCAAAACCTTCTTCTTTGATGTCACATTTCGAACAGATACTTCAGTATAGTTAACTAAATTGCTGTTATGCAGCGTGTGGCTATACTAGTGCGCATTACTGAGCGCACTCTGGAGCTTGCTTTCACACGCACTATGTTCTTGACTATGGATCGGTGGGCCTGGTCCACGAAGAACCAAATACAGAACGGGTATGACTGAAAGGGAGGCTGCAATCCAACTGAACGGCTTCAATAAACAACGAAAATGGCACTTTATGACAGAGTATTAAGGCTCATTCAAAGAACAATCAATTCACATAGAACCCAGATTTAAATGAATGTTTCAAAAGCAATACTTAACTGTTACAGTAAAAAACCTAATACACTGATCGAATACTGGGTGTTTGTAAAGACAACGCCTGAGCGCTCGAACGTGCCAGCGCCGGAATTAAAAAAGACGATTTGCAATATTTACATAACAATTGTATCTGATTGCCATTGCGATATATATGTATATATGTATATATATATATATAT